AAAAAAAACAACCTTCTTTTTGCAAACCCTCGAGCCGCCGAGCTGAGACGCGCCGGTTCACACCCAAATATTTAGCATCTTCTCAGCTCCACATATGCTTTTTGCCTGCTGGTCTTTCACATCTGAGGCAAGAAGCTCTCACTGCATATTTTCTCTCCGTGTCAGCTAGAAATAGGCGCAGCCCCTCTAATTCCTGGGTTGCTATGGAGACTGTCACTGGGAGCAGCGATTCCTCAGGCTCATCCCTGCCCCAGGGACTCACTCCTTGAGCAGGGGCAGCTCCTGCAGCACGGCCAGCTGTGCTGGAAAGGGCAATTAGACACGGGGCCGTGGGGCTGGGGCAGGGCTGGAGCTGCACAAACTGCATTTTTGGGGTTTGGCTGGCTCGTGGAATTTTTTTTCCCCTCTCTTTTCTGGAGGCCACAAGCTTTATCCCTTTGCTTATCTCCCCCCGGTCTGTCAGATGGGCTGATGGAGCATATTGCAGCTGGGGAATTGCTCAGTTCTATCCCCTGCTTAACCCAGCCCAGCCCTGAGCCCACCCTAAGCTCCTTAGAACTTTCACACATTAACCCAGATATGTGTGCTTGGGCCTGGGGGGCTCCCAGGGGTATGGAACCTCAGCCCCCTGTGGAAAACCCCAGCAGCATTCCTGCCTCTCTTCCCTCCTCATGGAGAGGGGGCTCAGGCATGGGAACTGCCCAGGAGAGTTTGGGGTGCCCATCCCTGGAGGTGTCCAAGGAAGGACTGGGGGTGGCACTCAGAGCTCTGGGCTGGGACAAGGTGGGGATCTGTCACAGCTGGGACTCGAGGAGCCTGAAGGGCTTGTCCAGCCTTCTGTGATTCCGTGTGTCATGGCTGGACGTTACGAAGGTCTCTCCCACCTTTGATTCTGTGGAGAGAAGCTCCTGAAAATGAGCCCTCCTGCCCAGTGCTGGGGCTGTGCTGAGGGATGAGGGACTTGCACTTAAACCTGAGCTTGCCCCGAGGCAGCAGGGCTGGCCAGGTAACACAGAGCTTCATTTCCCCAGGTGCTGTCACTGGTGGTCCCCAGGCAGCTGCAGAGGGTGACGCAGCGGGCCCTGCACAGGCTCTTCCACACCAGGTATTGCACTTCCATGCCTTTGCCGTTCGTTTTTACTCTGATTTCTGGTTGCTGCTGGGATCTCCTGGACCATCAGAGCTCTCAGTATTACCCTCAGACGTTCTGTGTCCATTTGGGACGCCTGTCAGGGGTTACAGATTCCCTGTGAGGTTTGCCACGCTGCTGTCTCTGCCTGCCTGGCTCCTTGTTCAGAGGGTGGTACCCAGAAATGTTTGAACACGTTGACAAATGAAGATAACGTGGCTCAGTAACAGATGTTGGTCACGCTGGTGGGATCCTGCAGCCCCACAGGAATTACCACAGCCTCTGTGGCAGCTGCAGATGGAGTCAGACACTCTCAGTCTCCATCCTCTCCCTCAAATCCCATTAGTCTCAGTCCAGCCTGGCTCTGCAGGTGGCTGAGGGGGAGTCTGCCCAGCAGCCTGCTGGATCCAGGTGGATTTTGTGTGTCTGTAAACTCTGGTGCCTCAGGAAGGAATTAAATACCTTTTCTCTGGGGACAGCAGCTCGCTGTGACAGTGACTTCAGGGCTGTAAATCTGCAGCTGTGTTGTGAGTGCCTGTTCTGCTGATCCTCTGCTCTAACACTGTCAGAGGTGCTGGGATTCTCCACATGCTCTGGAACTGGTGCTCACTGCCCACCTCCTGCCACCCTTATTTCCTGACAGCTGGTTCCATTATTGCACAGTTCTAAAGATTATTTTGGGGGCTTTTTCTTTGCTTTCAGAGTAGCAAATGTCTTCTGGCAGAATGCTTTGTGGCCTGTTGCTGTGGCATATTTTGTCAGCAGCAAGGGATTATAAGACTTTGTACTGACAGGGAAAAAACATCCAAAGGACATGTAAACAAAGCAGGGAATTTAGCTGACATATTTAAAGGAGTGTATGTGGGAAAAAGAGAAGGAGAAGCCAGTGGATGGAGAAAACACTATTAATATACAATCCAAGCTGGCCTGAAAACCTAAAAGAGGTGTCTCCTTGCATTTGGAAAGTCTTTGATCACCTCTGAGTGTACTTGACCTGTTAATCAGGATGCTGATGTTAACTAGACTGTCCCCTTGGCCCTGCAGGAGCTGTTTGTTTGTGGTTCTGCACGTGGCCCTGCAGGCTGCAGTGTTTGTGGAGTACACCTGGGAGGTGTTTGTGTACTGCTGGGAGCTGCAGTTCCACCTCCTCCTGCTGCTCCTGCCCTACCTGCTGCTGGCTGGCAACCTGGGCTGCTTCCTGCTCTGCTCCCGGGCCAACCCTGGTAAGACCACACTCATGCTCTGAAAACAGAAAAAAAGTGCTACAAATGCCATGTTTTAGTTCTGTTTCTTGCCTCTTTGGCAGGTGCAGTAACGAAATCCAACGCTGCCTCCCTGGCTGAGGTTTATGCCTACGATGGGGTGTTGTTTCAGAGAGGCCTCGTGTGTCCCACGTGCACCGTGCAGAAACCAGCCAGGTCCAAGCACTGCAGTAAGGATCTGAAATTCCTTGATCACCATGGCAGTAAGACCTTCCCAAAGGCACTCTCCCCCAGGAGCTGCAGTTCCCCCTACAGCTGTTCTGTTACCAGCTCAGTGCTCACGGGGCTGTGTTTGTTTTCCTGGGGTCCCAGGTCACAGCTGCATTTGCCCATCCCTGGAGCTGGTTGGGTGCTGTTTCTTCTCACAGAAATTACCAGTTCTGAGGGATCATTCAGGGTCAGGAACAGCTGAGCTTGTGAGCAGCTGGAATTATAAATGAGAAATTATCACCTGCCAGGATGTCAGATCAGGATTTTCTGTTTCATAGCCACAGAATCCTGTAATGGTTTGGGCTGGGAGGGATCTTTAAAGCCCATCTCATGTCACCCCCTGCCAGGGGCAGGGACACCTTCCACTGGCCCAGGGTGCTCCAAGCCCTGCCAGCCTGACCTGGAGCACTACCAGGGATGAGAAGTCCACCACCTCTTTTTATCATCTAAAATAAAGGTGGGAGCTCTAATCTCTGCCTTCCAGGTGCTTTGCCAGGCAGTACTGTGAGAGAAAGCAAAGTCTTGGAGCAGCAGTCTGGGTGAATAAAAGAGGAAATGGAATATGTTGTTTTTCTTAGGATACACAATTGAATTTATTCAAGGTTGCCGTCAGCTAAACCCCGACTGCAACTCCCACGTATTTTCATCTTAAAAACCACACAAAGATCAAACTGCTCACTGATGAACAAAGTGCCAAGACTCTTGTTTTGCCCCTGCCTCTCGAGGTGTGTGCAGGACGTGCGTGCACCGCTTCGACCACCACTGCGTGTGGGTGAACAACTGCATCGGGGCGCGCAACGCCGGCGTGTTCCTGCTGTACCTGCTGTCCCTGACGGCCACCGCCGGCGCCGTGGCTGCTGTCACCGCTGCCTTCCTCACCCAGGTGCTGCTGCTCTCCAACGTCATGCACGGCACCTACCTGGACGCCCAGGGACAGGAGCAGCCCGTGGAGATCCCCGTCCTCGTCCAGGTCGGTCCGTGCCGTGCCGTGTTCTGTCTGCCGCTTTGAACAGTGTTCTGCAACGTGGGGACAGAGGGTTTGGAGACAGGCTGCAGGGTTTGGGACAGGCTGCAGGGTTTTGGGATAGGCTGCAGGGTTTGGGGACAGTCTGTAGGGTTTGGGACAGACTGAAGGGGACAGACTGCAGGGTTTGGGACAGGCTGCAGGGTCTGGGACAGATTGCAGCGTTTTGGGATAGGCTGCAGGGTTGGGGACAGGCTGCAGGGTTTTAGCTGTTTTATACATGTAGCTGGATTTAGAAAACTGCCACTGCTGAATACTTCAGGAATGGGGTGTTTTTCTCACAGCAGTTCCCATCCTACAGATTCCTGTCTGCAGGATCTGTCACTCAGCAGCTCTGGTCATAGAGAAGGAATTTCCATTCCAATGATTAGCTGATGTGGTGAAGTTTAGGAAACAGCTGAGAGTCCCTGAGGTACCTTGTGGAGGTGTTAAAGCAGGACACACCTGGAATGCAGACACAGTTCCACGTGCACAGGGATGTGCATTCCAGCTGGGGCTCTGCAGTGCCCATGGGATTCAACCCTCCCACATTTTAACTCACTTTTCTCTTTCTCTGCAGCACCTTTTCTTGACTTTCCCTAGGATTGTCTTCATGCTGGGGTTTGTCATCCTGCTCACACTCGTGCTGGGGGGATACTGTTCCTTCAGTCTGTATCTGGCCCTCACCAACCAAACCACCAATGAATGGTGCAAGTCCCGAGGATTTGGGGGCTCCCCCCATCTCCCCTCGCAGCCTCGTGCCAGACCCCTTGTCTACAGAAACATTTATTCCAAAGGGATCTGGAGGAATTTAAAGGAAATCTTTAACCCTCCTACCGTGTTGGAAAGGAAGAAGGAAACATGAAGATAGTATTGTTTCTCTGGGCATTTTAAAATGTTTTCTAAGACTTGAGTTCAGCAGTGGGCTTGGCTGCCCCAGGCAGATTTTGGAACAGGATTACTGCAGAATTCACATCCTGGTGCCTCAGCAGAGCATCATGTGAGCTCCCTCCCTCAGTGAGACTCAGGGCCAGCTCAGTCCTGGCCCCTGAATTCAGGGATTTGTCCATCTTCCCAAAGTGAGTCTTTATCTCTGGGAAGGGCTACCACAGAGCTCCTCTGAATTTGGAGGGAGCAGCATCTTTTTGTATCTTTCTTTGGGAAACAATTAAGCCATGATTGTTAACAATGACTACAGCAGGTTGTGTGTGTTGAGCTGAAAGAATGATTTCTGGCAGGGTCTTACCTGCAGAAACCATGTCCTACTGAGCTTTGGAGCACTAACTTCAGGAAGGAAATTAAAGTGTCCCTGTTCTCCTCTCCTCCCAGAATTTCTTCTGTTTGAGTATAATAGAAGAGAAATTGGAAAAAAAAATGTAGTAAGAACTTTAAATAATTTTATTTTTAAAAATGTATTTATTTACATGCCAAATCTGTACAATATGCAATTAAAAATCCATATATGGTTAAAAAAAACCAAATTGCTATACAATATGGCTTTCCAGCCCCCAGGCTGGCTCTCAGAGCAGCCTGGCTGGCATTGCAGGGTACAATGATGCATTCATAGACCAGTACATAAGGCTACTTGTCCAGGATACCAAAGAAAAGAGAAATACTGCAGTACCGTGCCTTGGGAGGCCTGAAGGAGTGAGGTTAAAGGCATGAGAGTGTTTCAGTGGTGCTCAGCACACACCACAACTCCTTAGGTTTGGTTTTCTCAACTTGTTTTAAATGCATATATTTAAATAATCCCTCGTGAGACCCCCACATACTTGCTACACTTTCTGAATCCTTTTACAAACCAGACCACTGCTGTCCCATGGTGGGAATAGGGGGCTGATTCCCAAAGGATCTTCCTTAATTCCAGGCTGCTGTACAGAATACTGAGTGCCACTTGTGACCTGTCAGTCTGCTCAGGGCGACCAGGCCAAGGGTTTAACTCCTGGTATTGGTTTTAGACTGAGAACACCTCGGGCCTGCCCTGTTCTGTCCCATTTCAGACCTGTTCTAGCCCATTTTAGACCTGTTCTAGCCCATTGTAGACCTGTCCTTTCCCATTTCAGACCTGTTCTGTCCCGTTTCAGACTAGTCCTGTCCCGTTTCAGACCTGTTCTATCCTGTTTCAGACTAGTCCTGTCCCGTTTCAGACCTGTCCTTTCCCAATTCAAACCTGTCCTTTCCCGTTTCAGACCTGTCCTGTCCCATTTCAGACCTGTTTTATCCCATTTCAGACCTGTCCTGTCCCATTTCAGACCTGTCCTTTCCCGTTTCAGACCTGTCCCGTCCCATTTCAGACCTGTTCTATCGCATTTCAGACCTGTCCTGTCCCATTTCAGACCCGTTCTATCCCACTTCAGACCTGTCCTGTCCCGTTTCAGACCTGCCCTGTCCCGTTTCAGACCTGCCCTGTTTCAGACCTGTTCTGTCCCATTTCAGACCTGTCCTGTCCCATTTCAGACCTGTCCTTTCCCGTTTCAGACCTGTCCCGTCCCATTTCAGACCTGTTCTATCGCATTTCAGACCTGTCCAGCCCCGTTTCAGACCTGCCCTGTTTCAGACCTGTCCTGCCCCGTTTCAGACCTGTCCTGTCCCCTTTGGGCCTGCCCTGTCCCACGAGCACTCCCCAGGCTCCCCGAGCAGCCCCAGTGCCCAGGTGTGCAGCTGCTGTCCCTCACACGATCACGGTCTGCACCTCCACCTCGCCCTCCTGCGCGGCGGCGATCACGAACTCTCCCGCGTGCTCCATGATCTCGATGTCCTCGGACGCCACCATGGTGACGGTGGCCTCCTGCGCGGCCAGGCCGCCCTCGGCGGCCAGCACGGCGCCGTCGCCGATGGCCGAGGCCAGGGTCATGGCCACCTGCTCGGTGAGGCTCTCGGGCGTGGCGATGGTGATGGTGTCGGCGGCGTCGGCGGCCGCGGCGCCCTCGGCCACGGTGACGTTCTGCACGATGATCTGGTGGCCCGAGTTGGCCTGGTTGACGATCTGCTGCACCACCTTCATGATGTGGCTGTCCACCTGCGAGGGGACAGGGGCTGAGCTCAGGCTGCTGCGTTCACTGGCACGGGGCCTGCCAGCACCAGGCAGTGACGGCAGCAGCTCTGCTCCAGGCTGCTCCAGCTGCTCACCCCAGGAACAGGCTCTGCAATGTGTCACCCCTCCTGTCACTGCTTTACCTCATGTCTTGTTCCCTCTATTATTTCAGTAGCTTCACTGGTCTCCATGTCTTCGGTAGAAGTCTGGAAGACAAGATTATTCTCTTTTTAGGTTCTTATAAAAAAAATTTTATCACTATGATATAATTCACTCATATCTTTTACACAAGATCCACTCGCATGCAGTAGCTACTCCAAAGACAACTCCTTGACATTCCCTCCCAATCCCATTATCAGGAACTACTTAAAAGGAATGCACAATGTTGACAAATAACTGAAAGAGAATGTCCTCCCCCAGCAGGATTTGGCCACGCAGCAGATTTTTCTCCTACTGGAGAAGAACTACAGCAGCACTCAATAACTGAGCTGTGTTACCCTGCTGGGGTGAGAACTGGCTCTGTGTGACAGAGGGGAGAAAGTGACATGCAGAATTCATTGCTTTTGGCAGCCTCTGTTAGAAACAACAGAGATTATCTGGGACACAGGAAGATAAATAGAAATGGGAGAAGGAGGGAAAGCTGGAGCAAGCTTGTGATGACCTAAAATCTGGTGTGGTCAGAAGTTCTCAGGCTCAGCCTCCTGGCACACACAGCACTTGGGGAGGGTGGGGAAGCTCCAAGTGCTTTCCTTCCAAACAAGGCTGATCCCACTGCCTCCTGTGGCCATGCAGGCAGGGCAGAGCCTGTTTTACCTTCTCCCAAAAGCCTGGAGCAGGAACGTGAACAACTGCAGAGTTTTTCCTGACCAAACCCTGTGCTAAGCTCCCAATGAGCAGGCTGGCTGCCCCTCCTCACCTCGATGATGTATTCCTGGGTGTCTGCCACCACTGAGGAAAACTCCACCAGAACCGTGTGCGGATCCTCCGAAAGGACCGTGGCTGCCAGGTTGTCAGCAGACTGGCTCTCCTCTGACACTATCACTTCTTCCACCTCTTTCATAGCAAGGAGGCAGCCACCTGCATGCAAGTCCAGAAAAACATCATTTTTTGTGACCATCTCCAGCAGCAGCTGGAAGATGCTACACAGCACCAGCAAGGGGATGCCACGGACGAGTGACCAGTGGCACTTGAGGGGCTCCTGGCCCACCAGGACAAGCCAAGGAACAGCCCAGGAGAGTCCCAGGACAGACACCAGGAGCAGGGCAGCTGTCCAGTGCAACTCCAAACACCACATGGGTAAATTCAGGTGGTAAAACCACTCAGGGTTTCCAAGCCATGTGTGAAGAACATATAGGAAAAATTTGGGTATATTTTAAATAATTGATCTTTTCTGCTGATACATCTCAGTATCTCCTACAAAAGTCCATTTTTTCCTCCACTAAACTTGCATTGTTCCTTTGGAATAACACTGTCAGCACTACCTGAAGAAGTCTGGAAATCCTTGCTTAGGAGCTAAAGGAGCAGCAAGTCCAGTTCAACTAATCCCACCAAACCAGATGACTGGTGAGAACTTTACCCAGACACTTCCTTCCCAGAACATGCCCACTTCCATGTGGGTCATCAGATCCACAGAATTCACAGAATGACCAGGTTGGAAGAGACCTTACAGATCATCAAATCCAACCCAGCCCCAACACCTCAACTAAACCATAGCACTGAGTGCCACATCCACTCTTGTTTTAAACACATCCAGGGATGGTGACTCCACCACCTCCTGGGCAGGCATTCCAATACTTCCTGTAAAAAACGTTTTCCTAATATCCAAGCTATACTTCCCTTGACACAGCTTGAGACCGTGTCCTCTGCTTCTGTCAGCTGCTGAGATCCACCCTCAGCACCATTCCCAGGTGCAAGCCCAGGGCAGCCCTGCTCACCTTTGGTTTTGAGGTGCCTGTTGAGGGTGCCGTGCTCGGCGAAGCCGCGCCCGCACTTGTAGCACTTGAAGGGCTTCTCGCCGGTGTGGTGGCGGATGTGGCGCACCAGGGAGCCCTTCTCCCGGAACCCCCGGCTGCAGAACTGGCACACGTAGGGCTTGTCCTCCAGGTGGGTACGGAAATGCACCTGCTGGGCGTTCTGCACGCGCAGGGAGGCAAGGCAAGGGCTCAGGAAGGACACGGCCAACTCACGGACGCGGGGTTTTGCTCCCAGGGTGGAACTCAATTTTTTTTTTTTATAGGGCATGAGGATGATTTTCTTGGAGGGTGGTTTAGGAATGGTACTTCCCAAGTCAGTGCTCACACCATGCCTCTCCAAACCATGAGCCACTCACTTGTTCTCCCTCTCCCCCTCCCCTCACAGTGGGCTGGAGAGGAGAACTGGGGGCACAAAATGTGAAGATCATGGACTGAGATAAGAACAATTTACCAGAAACAGAAATAAGATAAAAAACCACTACTGATGACAGAGAGTGCAACAAAAAGGTGAGCAACTCACCTGCCCTAATAATAGACAGAAGGAACCCCTTTCCCCCACACCAGAATGTTCTAGCCATGCACCCTCCTGGCTACTGCAAAAATCAACCCAGTCCTGGCCAGTTATTACATATTTGCTCCACACACGAAGGAACAGTTTCTTCAGAAATGACTCTCCCTTTGCCCACTAAGCCAAAACATCTTTCTGGAGTTTCAGCTCACAGAATCACTGAATGGTCTAGGTTGGAAAGAACCTTAAGGAACATCTTGTTCCACCCCCCTGCCACGGGCAGGGACACCTTTCACTGTCCCAGGTTGCTCCAAGCCTTGTCCAACCCGGCCTTGTACACTTGCATGGATGGAGCAGCCACAACTTCTCTGGGCTACAAGAGACAGGCGAGCTCTTTGAGGAGCAAAGCCTCCTGCCCTCTGCCAAAGCCTGGCTCTGGGGATGCCAGTGAGGAGGTTTGGGAGGGGGGCCCACCTTTGTCTTGTAGCGCTTGCCGCACTTGGGGCAGGCGTAGGGCCGCTCGTCCGAGTGCACCCGCCGGTGCCCCTTCACGTGGGCAATGGTCTTGTAGAGCTTGCCACACTCCCCGCAGCGGAACCGCCGCTCGTTCACGTGCACCTCCTGGTGCTTCTTCAGCAGGTAGCCCTTGGTGAACTCCTTGCCACACTCCTCACACTTGAAAGGTTTGTACTCTAGAGGGACAGAGGGAAAAATGTGTGGTTGATCCAGGGCGAGCACACAGGATGTGGTACAGGAGTAACTGAATTGTAACAAAAAGGGAGCTGGAGAAGGGGAGGAATTGTACTGTCAACCACGTGTGTGGGCTTTCACAGAACCCCAAAACAGCTGGGGTGGGAAGGGACCTCTGGTGATCATCCAGTCCAGACCCCTGCCCAGGCAGGGTCACCTGGAGCAGGTGACACAGGAACGTGTCCAGGGCTCTGCCACCCTCACTGCAAGTGGTTTTTCCTCATGTCAACATGGAACTTGTTGTGTTTTAGTTTGTGGCCATTGCTCCTCATCCTGTCACTGAACAGAGTCTGGCACCATCCTCTGACACCCCTGGGAGGGATTGGTATGGATTGATGGATCCCCTCACAGCCTTCCCTTCTCCAGACTGACCAGGCCCAGCTCCTGCAGTCTCTCCTCATCAGGGGAGCTGTACATGGCTGAGGTCACTGAGCCACAGCTGGTGTCACACAGCAGCCCCAGCAGCACTTCACCTGTGTGACTCTTGCTGTGAGTTTCCAGGGCAGCAGCTTCATTGAAGGCTTCATTACAGTGAGAGCAAATGTAACGTTTGTACCCGTTGGTTCTTTCTGCAGGTGTCTGCTGGAGAGAAAATGGGAAAATTGCTTTTCTATTTTTGTACTGGTGTGTCCAGTTAGGATTGCTACCCAAATTCCCATTAAGCACTCCAGCTTTGACAGGAAAGAAATCTCTGTTGTGAAAAGAGACAGCACATGTGTGAAGGAACATTCCCCTTAAATCACACCTGCACAATGTAACTCTAAAACCTGACACAGGCACAGGCAAACACATGAGGACAACAAACCACCTACTGCCCACAACCAAATACAGACAAGGAAGGTTAAAAAATTAATCTGTTGATGGAATACAAACATACAGACTCCGCTCCTTCCAGTTTAGCACACTGCTCCCCACACGGCTCCTCTTCTACTTCCACCCCTTTGTTTTCCAGCTCTTCTGGAGCAGCTGCCAAAGGTTCCTCTGGCTTCTGCACCTCCTCCACGGCCACTCTCTCGATGACAATCCCCGAATTCCTCATGGCCTGCCTCAGCAGGTTCTCACTGTTCACCTCCCCCTCGCAGGGCAGCTCCTCGGGATGCGGCTGCTGAAGGAACAAAGAGGAAGTTGGGCACAGCAAACCCACAACGTTTTACAGCAACACTGCTGCAGGGCCACTCTCTCTGGGGTGTCCAGTGCTGTGCTGTGGGGTTGAAAGATCAACCAGGAAATACCTTGGGCTGAGGAAGAGGATGAGGTGGATCTGTACTCTGACAACCCAAGGGATGACAAGCCCACCAAGTTCATTCCACACTCAGATTTACTGTCAGTACCTCTGCTCAGGAGGTGGAATGTTCTTTGTGTAAAACACACAGAGGGTGTTTGAGGCAAACAGCACTCACATCTGGCTCCAGGGGTTTTGCATCCACCACGGGAAGCTCCTGCATCTGGACGTGGACCTCATGGAGCACGTTGCCTTTTGCATCTGTCACGAGGTGGATGACAGGAGAGGCCTCGATGGATTCGCTCGCGATGGAGGACACCGTGTCTGTGCTGGAGCTGCAGGGCCCTGCAAGGATGAACCACGTGGGGAAATGCCCCCCTCAGCAACTCCCTGTGCACTAAAAAATCTGCCTTAGAGCACAAGGTGCCTGCTAACACCACCTTTGTACCAGATTCTCAAACATTCTTGAGTTCACACCCGACTTCAAGGTAATAACTTTGCTCTATAAATTATTTTTTTCTGGTATAGAAAATAAAATTTCAAAACCATGGGAATAATTCTTATCATAAATAAGAATCATGGAATGGTTTGGGTTGGAAGGGATCTTACAGGTCATCCAGTGCCACCACCTGCCATGGGCAGGGATACTTTCCACCATCTCAGGCTGCTCCAAGCCCTGTCCAATCTGGCCTTGGGCACTGCCAGGGATGGGGCAGCCACAGCTGCTCTGGGCAACCTGTGCCAGAAGGAATTTCTATTCCAAGTGCTGTGAGGGTTTGGCTTTATCAGACAGGAGGCAGGTCCTGGCAGCATCACTGACCTGAGGGCAGATCATCTTTGTTGACAACTATTTCTTTGGTCATGTTGAAGCGGATTTTTTCAGTGCAAGGTGTCAGAGATTTAAGGTGCCGAGTCAAAGCTCCTGATTCCCGGAAGCTTTTCCCACATTTCTTGCATTTGTAAGGTCTTTCATCTGGAAATGACAAGAATCAAACAACTACATTAAAGCCAGCATCAGCTCTGTGTGACAGGCTGAAGAACATGTTCAGCTTTCTACAGCACATGACTGTGTCTATCCCAGAACCTTCCACTGCCTCCCAGCACCCCAAATTCTGGGCAGCTCAATGGTCTCAGCTCAGCAAAACATGGGAAGCAGCAAGGAATTCCACTGGAAGGCAAATGGATAACCACAAACAGCTCCAGTAACAAGGAGCTCTGTTTGGCAGAACTCTTACCCGTGTGCCGCCGATGGTGTCGGATCAGAGACCCCTTTGTCCTAAAGGAAGTCCCACAGAGTTTGCACTCATAGTCCTTCCTGCTGCTGTGAGTGATCATGTGAGCTTTGAGGATGCTGGCCTAGGGAAAGAATTTCCTTTAAGAGACGTTCCAAATAGTTTAAAGATTTTACATTTTAGCTGTAAAGAACAACAACAAGGCTCCTTGTGAAGGCAGAACTTCCCTCTGGGAAGTGTGGCAGGCAGTAAAGCTACACTGCTACTGAGGCTTGGCATCTCTTAGCCTAAAAGGCTCCCTAAGCCACACCAGCAGAGGGGATACTCACAGTTTTAAATGTCTTCTGGCACAGCTCACACACGTATCGCCCCTCCTTGTTCACCTGCAGCTTGACCTTGATCAGCTCGCTGGAAATGTCCTGCTCCTGCTCCTCGGGGCTGCCCTGCTCCTCACTGACCTCCCCATCCACGTGGCCATTCGGGTTCTCAAACACATGGTCTCCTGCTACAATGACCTCTTTGATGTGCCCACTGCCTGGGAAAAGGTGGGGAGACAGTTGGGTTCTTTGCAGGAAACAAACCATCTACTGTCTCAGCAGGTCATGAAGGAAGGAGAAAAGATATCTTAAACCTGCCACTGGAGTCTTTGCAACCTTCTCATTATGCCACCATAAAATGGGCACTTTCTGGTACAGAGTTTAACATCTAATTTGTATTAATTAGTTGTATTAATTAAGCTGAAGGAGCGTGGGTTTAGAATAGGTATTGCAAAGGAATTGTGAGGGTGGGCAGGCCCTGGCACAGGGTGCCCAGAGCAGCTGTGGCTGCCCCTGGATCCCTGGCAGTGTCCCAGGCCAGGCTGGACAGGGCTTGGGGCAGCCTGGCACAGTGGAAGGTGTCCCTGCCATGGCAGGGGTGGCACTGGATGGGCTCTGAGGTCCCTCCCAACCCAACCCATCCCACGACTATTCCATGGCCCTGATGGGGAAGGATTGCAGAGCTGGCCCAGGGCTGCCTCCCAGAGCTCTGTGGGAACAGCCCCAAATCCCAGTGACACGGAGGTGTCACCCACCCAACCACGACCCAAAGCCATCAGAAGAGGTCACAGATGAGGGAACAGGTACCAGACACCCTGGGGATGCCAAGGCACTGCCAGAGCTCACCTACGATGGCCGAGGCGTTGCTGATCTCTTCTGCTATGGAAGATGCTTCAACAACAATGTGAGCAACAGTGATGGACTCCTCGACAGCAGGAACCACCTGCTGGCACAGAGCACCTCTCAGCAGGCAGGTTCTGCTCGTCTGAGCACACTGCTCCCTCCCCTCCAACCCAACAGACCGTTGCATCCTAATTATTTCCAGCCCCGGCTGGGAGAAGCCGCTGTCACCTTTTGTCCTTCCTGGCCGAGGAGGCCGGCGAGCGCGTCGGGAGGGCGCTGGCAGCGCTTCTGCAGCTTGTGCTGCACGAACTCCTGCAGCGAGCTGAACTCCGACTGGCAGCGCCCGCACCTGTGCACGTCATCCTCGTCTGCGGGGAAAGCGCCGTCAGCGGGGCCGGGATCCCGCCGGCCCGCGCCTCAGGGCCGGGGCAGCGGGCGGGCGGTGCGCTCCCCGCTCTGCCCCGCAGCGCACCGGGCCCGGGACCCCGTGCGATCCCGGCCTGTCCCGGCACCGGGATACACCCGGCCCCGCCGCTCCGCCCGGGCATGCTGCAGGGGAGCGGGGCGATCCCGGCCCAGGCACACGGAGACCCCGCCGCCTCCCGCCCCGCGGGCAGCACCGGCCCGGCCCCCTCACCCACCGGGCCGCGCCGCCGCCAGGCCTGGCGGTGCCGGCCGGGGCCCCGTGAGGGCGGTACCTTGCTCGCCGAAGGGCGGCGGGAGGCCGATGAGAGCGGCGGGGGCCGCGAGGGGCGCGGGGGGCCCGGAGCCCGCGGCCGCCGCGCCCCGGCCCGGCCCGGCCGCTTCTGCCGTAAGCGCCGCCGGCCCCGCGCCCGTTGCCATCGCGGCCCCCGTGTCGCAACGCGCCGCAAGATGGCGGCTTTACGGCCGTGTCGTCATAACAACGGGACGGGGCTCGGCGGGGAACGCGCCCGCCGCGCGGGGGTTCCGGGCGCCGGCGGGCGGTGTCGGGGCACGGTCCCTCCGCTCCCCCCGGTGATGGCCGGGCCCCGAGCCCCGGCGGAGCGGAGCCCGGGCAGTTCCCGACGAGTTACCGCGGAGTTGCCTAACGCGTTACCGAACGAGCCCCGGCGCGCCCTGGCCAATAGCAGCGCGCGGGGGGCGGGCCCTCGCGCCGAGCGGCCAATGAGAGCGCAGCGCGCCGGGCGCCATCGGCGGCGACGTGCGGGAGGACGGAGGGGACACCGGGCGCCGGCTCCCGGCGGGGCGGGCGTGGCCGCCGGCAGCGCCGCCCAATGGGGACGCGGTCCGTGCGGAGCGCGGCCAATGGGGAGGCGCGGGCGGCG